CTTGGTTGAAACATTTTGTTCTTTCCCTTTCTCTCAGCCCTCTGGTATCTTTCTGTCTATCACTCCATCTACATGTATGGAGATTTGTCTCTCTAATCTAGGGATCCCTCCATTTTCAAGCATCTCTTCTTCTTTTTATATCCCTTCACACTTGTGGATCTCTCTCTCTCCATCCACCCATCCATCCCATTAGATACCCATCCATCCTTCCACTCATTGTCATACATGCCTTTATATGCTTCCATTCATTCTATCAGTCCCGGTACATATCTCACTAGCTATCATACTCAGGAGACAACCATAAACCCATCCATCCATCCACCCCAATTTCTCTCCCTTTTCCCTCATTAGATTCACTCTACCTGATCCAGAACTCTCTCCCATCTTCCTTTACAGGGGCATTGTATTCACTCAGGGGTATTTCTGACATAGTCACTGCCCTTTCAGACCCTTTTTGCTGCCCCATGGAATCTGAAGGACAGAACCTGAGTGCTCTGGGCCTATGATCTGGTCCATAAGGCACATTGAGGTCCTTCACAGGAGACCCCACAGTCTCTGTCCCATGTCTAGCAACACCCTCTACTATATCTGTGCTGCCCACAAAACACCCAAGGGTTCCTGCAAGAGACAGAGACAATAGTGTACATGAAGCTCAGGCTGAGCATGCATTTATTAACATTCAGTGCAAATAAAAGTCACCAGGAAAACAGCAAGTAAATAAACACACAATATGCAGAGTAAAAGAGAAGGAGCTGGTTCAGATCTGAGGGGAGATTGGATATACTTCAGGGGAGTGGGGAATGGCCTGTAGGGATTTTCTGCTCTATGGGATGCTGGTTCTGGGCTGGGGTGAGGACCAGCTGGTTCTGGTCAGTGGGGAATAGCACATATGGAGTTTCCTGTTGAGAGGGCACTGGGCAGGGGAATTACATCTTTCAGTGTGTCAGGGAATGGGACATAGGGTCATTTCCTTTAGCAGAGAAACTGGCTCTAATACAGTCTCAGACTGGAGGGGTGGGACTGGCTGGCCCAGGTAGAAGAGAATGAGAAAAGGGATCCTTTCCTCTCTTTTAGGGAATGCTGACTCTGATCTTTGGAGGGGGGATGAAGGAATTTTCTTTCCAGGGGGCACTGGCTGGGAGGAAAGTCTGGTTGGAATGTGTTAGGGGGTTTTTCCTCTCTCAAGCCTCAGGTGTGGCCCCAAACTGGGGAACTGGCTGGTATAGGAAGGAGGGGATCAGGTACAAGGCCTCTCTTCTCTAATGGTACTTGCTTCATGCTTTATGTGTGACATGGCTTGGCCAGTCTCCAACTAGCCCCAGACAGAGTCCTCTTTGGGGAAGAGGGCTGGTAGAGGTGGAGATCTTGCACTGGCAGGGTGCCTGTAGGAGAGCTGGGAGTTCGTCCCCCTCCTTTCCACATGGGGGATAGGAGTAACCCTTATACTGCATCTTTGATCACATTTTTGTAGACAGGACCACGTGCCTGCTTGAGCTGCATGACAGTGGAGAAGAGCCACTTAACCTGCAGGGAGCAACAGAATGACAAAGCATGAGTGAAGGGTAATGTTTGGAAGGAGTGACCCTCACCCCTCCCTGAGTCATGGCCATATGGTTTGTCTCTTTCATCCTTTTATTTAAGCATTTGTTCCTTCCCGCATCCATCTATACATGCATGCATCCATCCCCCCACACTCTCACCTTGAACAGGGTCACGGTGGCACTGTAGCACACACTCAGGAGGAAGAGGGTGATGAAGACAGAGATGGTGGCCCAGAGACCATTCAGCTCCCTATCGTCTTCATCAAGGCACAGCTCATCAGACACATCTGCCCCTGTCAGGGGCAAGAAAAAGGACGTCACTGCAGACCTGTTGGGTAATGCAATCTCCAACGAGGGGCAAGAGGAAAAACTCAGACTGTGTGTCCAACACTGGCCTCTCTATCCATCTATCCATTATTCCCTCTTTCATTCAGGTAGATATCCTGTCCTAAATCAATTTCAAGATAAAACTCTTCTTCATGTGCCCCTCTTTATAGCTTTCCATTCATCCATTGACCCAGTTGCACACATTTGAATACTTGCATCTCATAACAATTCCCTCCATTCCTCTTTCTTTCCCATGGACTGTGGTTACTCTACTCTTCCCCACCTCTTTTTATCATGGTGTAAAGGTTTGGAGGCATCCAGACTTTATCCAACCTCCGCTATGTGTTTTTGGCTCCAGACAAGTGGAACATGGTATCAAAACCATCCCGCTTCCTATCCCCTTTGCTGAACATGCCTTTGGGTGGGGTCACTGCTCCCCCTTCAGACCTCAGGATCTGGATCATTCACTCCAAAGCCTTGTGCTGAGCAGAGACAATTTTTTAGACCCAACTCCACAGCATCAGACTGACCTAAGGGTGAAGGGGCTGTATGAGATCTGGGTTCAGTCCCCACCTCTGCCACCCACTTGGGGAGCCACATTGCACCATCACTGAGTCTCTCTATACCTTGGCTCGCTATGGGTGATGGGGGATAAAAGATTTGTCCATGCCTCCCCAGGAGGTCAAGTCCACTGGAGTCTAGGAGATGCTAGGATGCTGCTGTGGTGTGAGAAGGTCCTTCAATACACCAGGATGGATGGTTTCCAATCACCTGTCACTAAATTCCTAATTCCAGTACATCTCTCCAAACAAGACCCCTTCTGCATGGGATGCAGCTGGCTCTGGTGTGGAGCATGGAGAGAGCTGATATACAAAGTCTGTGTTCAGTGCTGAGATGCAGGTGCCCTTTCAACCAGACCTGCCAGCCCTCATTGAGCAGGCAGGGAGGCAGGCAGTATCCAGAAGGGGTCTACACGCTGGGAGTGGAGTGGCAGGGGGCTTAGGAAGGGGCAGTCACCCCTTTCAGTCAGTGCTGGCCCCAGTGCAAGGCATGTGGTTACACAGCCAGGGCCTTGCATTCCTGTAGTGGCTGAGTTATGGGGCACACATTGTTCCCATACCCCACTCCCAAGATGGCAGCCTCTTGGTGACGAGAGGGAAGGGGAGGGCCTTTGTAGTGATGGAGAGTTTGATCTTGTGAGATCCTTTCCAGCCCTAATGTCTATGAAATCTATGGCAACAGGGTGTGTAGAACTCTAGGAGCATGGTTGTGCATTGAAAAGCAGCTGGCAAGAGTCTGGGAGGCATGCATGTCCACCTCTTCTAGTGTGCTTTGTACCAATGCTACACTCACCTAAAATTTCTGCTTCCTTCCCTGTCACCTTTAGCATCTGCTCCACCTGGCGGATAATAGCTCTAACACTACTGCTACCAGTGATCTCCTGGTGCCCAAGATCCTGATGCTTGAATATGGGTGTAAGTCTGGGAGGATGATCTCTCGGACAGGGGAGGAAAAGGGACACAAATTGGGATGTCCATTCTCCATTCTTCCCTTCTGGCAGCTCTATGATGTCACTGCTATAGTCAGTTGCTCTCCTGAAGCCCTCTGAGAACCTGCTCCAGGGAACAGCCCTGCCACTGGTCCTAGCTGGTTGCAACCCCTCATAGCTCTAAAGAGAACCACTGGACACAGGGCTTGCTCTCAGGTTTTAAGATTAGAACCCTACCCTGAGTGGGAGGATGTTGCCACGGGTTGTTCTATCCCCTCTTCAGTTGCGGGGCTGGTTTGAGAAAGAAGGACTAAATCAGGTCTTGGAGGGTCTTGAAATGCCCTCCACTCCATGATATGCTTGCCTGTGATCCTAGGGACCTGGACTTTGCGACCTTTCCAGTGCTATGTTCTGATGCGAGGTTGGAAATTTCCTCGAAGGGCCATATGCTCATCTCTAGGGCAAAAGGGAGCTTGGGGTAAAGGCACATAAGGTGCCCCCACTAGACCCCTAAATTCTATGGGTTTAGCCTAGAGTCCCTTGACACAAGAAAGCTCTTCCAGAGACATCTTTCTCATGCATCCATTCCTAGACATGCCAATCCATCCATCCATCCACCCATCCATCCATCTATCCATCCTTTTCCAAATGATAATCATCAAAGGAGCATGGTTTGGTGGCTGGAGTAGTGGACTGGCCTCTGCAGTACATTTCTTGCTATCTACACCTTTAGTCCTAGATACTAAGAGTGCAGGTTATCTGTCCATACTAACATAGGACCATAAGTGTACAAGGTTTCTTTTGGGTCACTGAGTCCAATTTCCTCCTGTGACAGGCAGCCAGAACCTATTGTCCTCTTCATAAAACTTGTCAAGTGTCATCTTAATATCAGAGGGGTTTTTGACCTTCAAGGGCAGGAAGTATTCCACAGAACTCCATTCCTCCGATGACTAGAGATTTTGTGCTTTCCAGCCTTCCTTCCTTCATAGCCTATTAAAATACATTTGTTCTTCTACCAACATAATTTTCTTTCTCTCTGGAGTTCCCTCATTTCCTGCCTTTATAGGTACTAGTTACGTTCCTTCTATGCCTTTACCTGGCCTGACAAATCAAGCTCTTTTGGCCTCTGTTGCTAAGGTTAGCTCTCCATTTTCATCATCTTCCTAGTAGCCTTTCTCTCCACATGTTTAAAAACCACATATCCTGCTATCTGTTCTTTTAAAGCATGTCTCTCTTCTGGCTTGCCTCTGAGGTATGTGTTTCTGTCTCATAAATGTATCTATCCATTCATCCATCCATGGTTCATGTAGGTGGAAAGGTTATGGGAATCAGCACCCCGCCAGTACAGCATCTCAGCACCTCCCAGACCCCAATCCAGGACTCATCCCCACCTGGGCAAGTCACAAACAACCCCCAGTGACACCAAAATGAGGAGACCCAAAGAATGAGCTCAGGCTGGTTCATTTTATTTATGCATATTAATGATTTGGTTGCAGGCACAGAGGTTATTTACAGAATGTTCTACAAGGCTAATGAGGAGGAGGAGGTGCCACAGGGTGGCTTCATTTACCAGGGGTTTTCTGGATTGAGCGCTGGGTGAACTTCATCGGGAGACTTTCATGGATGACCATGCAGGTAGAGGTTTCTCCGTTATTCCAGCTAACCTTGCTAACTTTTAACTTGCTGTACATGAAGTATGAGTCCCCGGCTGGCTCTTCAATGACTGGAGTGTTCACGTACTGGTCCTCTTTTACAGCAATGTGGTTCTGCAGCCACTGTATGGAGATTGCCTCAGGAATGAAGTCAAGGACCATGCAGGTGATGCTGACAAAGTCTTCGTTGTTTGTGAGCTCCTCATGGTGGGGGGGCAGGACGTAGATTTTTGGGGACTGCTGTTTGCCTTTGGGAAGGGGAAGAGGAAAAGAGGAGACCTGGTGAACCCTTTTTGTCTCATTTGGGTTCACTGGTGGCAGGGGGGACAAGGACATAGGGAGATCTGTCTCATTTCCCTGCTGCCCTGAGGATGGAGAGTCTCAGAGCTAGGAGTGGGAGAAGGGGTGGGAGTTTTCCCTCCTTTGCCTTGGTGGGCAAAGGGGAAGGAAATTACCATGTTTTGTGGCACACAATACATCCCACAACAAGGACACACACTTTTATTTTGAAAGGCAGAATGAAGAAAAAAAGACCTTGAAAATTCTGGTAAGTAGCAGTAAGTAACTAAGTAGCAGTAGCTAGGGAGACCTGCAGGCTCCTTGTGGAGCTCCTGCAGTCTTACTTTTGCTTTCCACCAGCAGACATATAAACAACAGAAACTGCCATTACCATATTTCCTTGTTTATAATACTTATAATCCACAGACCCCTGCATTTGAAAGCTTGTTTAACTTTCTTCCAACTACATAGCTGGTCCAATAGAAGAAAATATGGCAGGCAGAAGTCGGTGGAGGAGAGGGTTCTCATGGTGGAAAGCAGGTGGGGAGTGAGGGTGTAGGGGTCTTCTGAATGGAGCCTATTTGTCTGCTGCGAGAGTGGCTCTGATCAAGGAAGAAGCCTTGCTTACCTTTTTTCCAGGAGATGGACTTGGCCAAAGATGTAGGCATATCACTATGTTCCACTCTGCAGGTGAATTTCTCTTCTGACTCCCAGTCTTGGGTGATGATGACCAGGGAGCTGGTGGCAGTGTAGGTGCCGTTGAACTGCTCCATCAACTCCAGGGGTTCAGGGGCCACAGACCCTTGCTTCTCTCGGGACCAGGTGACCTTAAGCCCCGAGTCGCTAGGCAGGTTGACGATCTTGCAGGTCAGCTTTGGGGCCTGACCCACATACAGGCTTGCGGGGCTTGGGGCCAACATGTAGACTTGGATAGGACCTGAGTGTGGATCGGGGCCTGGGGATGGGACAGTCAGGGTAAGCCCTTTGCCCATGCTCTCCATTTCCCTTGAGTCCCATCACTGTGGTTGTATACCCCAGCATCCCTCTTGGGGCACCTCAGCCCATTCCTCCCACACTCCTGGGATCAGGACATCTCCCATCTATATATGGCCCAGTCCCATTCAGCATTACCTTGGCATCTCCGGGCATGGGCTTGCACCAGGGTCCCACTCGCAGGGTGATTCACGCGGCATGTGTAGGTCTTCCCCTCTATCCATTCTTCCTCGGTGACATTGGCTCGACTTTCAAGGCGGTAGGTGCGGTCTTCATCCCGGTGGGTGTCGCCATCAGTATAGACAACATGCCCAGGTTTGCCATCTACCAGCCATTCCACGGTGATTGAGGCAGGAGAGAAACCAGAGACTATGCACACCAGCTGGATGTGCTGCTCGCCAGGCCTGATGCTGCAGGAGGAGTGGAGCAACTCGATTTCGGGGGGTACGATCTTTCTCTCGCAGGCTGGAGACAAAGGGAAGTCAGGGGGGTGAGGTGTCATGCAGCTTCTGATGAGGACTCTGCACTGCTTCCTGAGATGTGCCCCCACTGATGGTGCCCCCCACCCCCACTGCCAAGAGTGCAAAGCATTCTACTGAGTCCCCTAACACATCACACCACAGATCAGTCCTGTGCCCAGCTCCCTGCAGCATGTGGTCACCCAGTGACTTCCCTCCTATTGCACTGGCTGTGTCCTTCCTTCTATCCATCCATCCATTCACCCCTCCCTCCATGCTCACTCTCTCTGTCTCTATTTCCCTACCTCCATCCATAGCTGTCTTATCTGTCTCTTGCTTTCTCCATCCATCACCCCTCCCATGCTTCCTCCCATCAGGGTACTCCTGTTAGACAGGTGGCAGCAGTGGGAGGCTTTTATCTCCTGTCCTTGCAGCAGGAACTGGAGACAAAAGAGACAATACCCCCCACACCCTCCACCCAAGCTGTGCCCGGTATTGGGGGTTACAGAGGATGACTCCCTGTGGCTCCACTCTTACATTCAATTTTCTTTGTGCCTTGAAAGCTGCTTGGCTCATGGATCACAGTGCATTCGTGGGGCATGGTCTGCCCAACTGGCACGGTGAGCTGGCTGGTCATGGTATAGAGCCCACTGGAGGAGTCCAGCACTGAAGGGTAGTTCCTGATGTCCTTGGTGAATTTGCCACCATTCCATTTCACAGTGACGGGCTCAGGGAAGTAGCCAGAGACCAGGCATATTAAGGATTCGGGACTGGATTGGCCACCGCAGCAGGAGGCCAAGGCGAAGTAGCTTGGAGCGGTGGTGGCAGCTGTAAGGTGAGACAAAGCATGTGGTTGAGATCCTGCATCCTCTGAGCCCTCTGTGCTGCTCAAGGCAGCAGAGCAAGCCTAGTGGCAGAATTAGGGCCATGCTGAGCCCCTAACCCATGGCCCCACCACACAATGCCCCCATCAGCCAGATGGAGAAAGTGCCCACTATTGCTTCCACCCACACATTACCAGTGAAGCAGCTCACCCACTGTTCACTCACCTCTCCTCCTACTTTCTCATCCTCTCTGCCATTTGCAGCTCCAAATATTTCCCTCCACCATTGCGTACCAGCTTCCTACTTATGTCTGCTGGGGTTTTCCCACTCTGTGCCACTGCTGGGTGCTGCCATTACGCTCACCTTCTGCTCCTTCTCTAGCACAGGCTCTTACCTTCCAGCTCCTAGCTGTGCCCTTCCTCCCAATTGCAAGCTCTGAGGTGAATTCTGGCTGATTATAGGCCAAGACCTCACCACTTTTGGGACCTGGATGCCCTGTTGCCCTTACAAACAATTGGAGTTTCACTTGGAAATCCCCTACAAAGCCATCTTAGCTGGAGCAGAATATCAGGAGTTTTTTTTTGTCTTAGGGTTCTAAATAGTGATTGCTCTCTCTTCAAGCTGTAAGGCCAAGGTTGTTGTCACTTTTTTGCTGGGTACCACTAAGAGTCCTCCTCCTCCTCACCATTGAGGTCCAGTAAGTGATGGACCTGCAAAGATCCTCCCTCCCCCCCTCCCATATCTGAGATAAGGTCCTGCAGACATGCAGGGCAGTTCCAAGACAACCTCTTCCAGACAAATACCAGGACATCTCCTGTGCTGTTCACAGTATAGAGACAGTTGCTACCCTCCCAAAATATATAATCAAGACAGACAAGGCATGGGGGAACTGAGGCATCAGGGCAAGGGGACGTGATCAATAGCATATGCCAGGTTGGTGGCTGAGCCCAGAACTGGACCCAGGTGTCCTGAGTCTTGGGTTGCTCTATCCCCTGGGCTGGCTGGTCCTCTTATGCTGTAATGAGCTGGCATTGATTGCCTAGAGTGGAAGGTTGTCCCCAGTTATGTGGGCTGGCTGATTTCTGAGGAACTGAAGGGACTTTGGTGCTGACCTGCCCTGAAACTCCCCTGGAAACCCCCCCCCAGCTGCCAGCACACTTTATCACCTACCAACTGAACAACAAGGGTATGTCTGGGGGCTCCAGAGGAGCTCCCAGAACAAGGCATGAAAGGGTGGAAGCACCCCAGTATGAGGAAGGTATCTGGTTTCTTTAGATTAGAGACAGGGTCAAAATGAAGGATGGGAGATGAGGATGAAGGAGCAAGCTGCTGGGGTTGTAATAAGAGCTCTGCTTTGGGAGTGAGAATTAAGAGTGATGGGTGAAGATGTCAACTTTCAAGATTTCACCCCTTCCCACCAACTTTTGCTTTGGGGTTTCTAGCCAATTTCTCATCAATCAAATCACTTGGATTTCAACCAACTCTGATGCCTTTGACAGGTAAGATTGGGGAAGGGACCTTGGTTCAAACCAAGGGAATTAATTTGCCAAGTTGCCTGATAATGATGGCTGCCTCAGTGTTTTCTAGCCTAAGATCTCAGACATGGTGCTCAGAGGGTGAGCGGTTAGGGTTAGCACTGGAGTTAAGAATAAGAGGGTATAACTGCTATTTCTTGTTGGTCATATTGCAGTAGCAATTACAGGCCTTAATTTAGGATCAGAGGCCCAGAGTGGCTTGTAAAGCCAATGGCAAAAGGGATAGTCCTTACCTCAATCAGTGGGGTCAAAGTCAAGAGTGTTGAGGGTCAGGGAGTCAAGAATTGGGTTAGGAAATTCAGGTGAAGGGATCTTGACCCCTAATCCCTGAGTACCCTCGCCTTTGACTAGTCTTAATCTAGCTTCCTTCACCTGAATTCTTAGGAACATAGAGACAGCTTCTGATGGGGTGCAGTGATAGAGGGGAGTCACCTTGTTAAGGTCATTCCTGAGGCTTTAGGGTTAAAGGCTATCGAAAAGGGACAGACTTAACTCAGGGGCTAAATGTAAAGTTGGGGCTGGAGCCATATGTGGGGGTGGGATTGAGCAGTTGGGTCCAAATTAAGAGTTTGGGTGGTTGAAGTTACGCTCATGGTCACAGGGGTGAGGCGAAGGTAGAGAGATGGAAGTGGAAGCTTTAAGGTAAGAGGTGGTTTGAAGTTTGTGTCAGAGTCATTGTGATGGGGTTTGGGCTCAGGGCTTTGGTTTCAATTTAGGGTAAAAAGAACAGTTCCTTCCTCAAAGTCCACTCAACCTCAAGTGGCTCCTGCACCTCTGGCCAGATTCCTTCCCTTGCCATCCCCTCATCTTCTAACCCACACAGATGAAGAGCCCTGAGATGTTTCCCTAAACCCCATGGGATTCATCTCTAAGAACACCGGCTGCCTCTGCACCTGTGTGAATCAATGGGCAATTCCTCCTAAGCAGCCCACAGACCCTGCTTTTGCAGCTACAACTCTCCTCAGCTTAGGCTTGACTCACAACCTGCTGTTAAGCTCATACTAGGCTCCCCTGAAGACTCCTGGCCTCCTTGACCTGGCTAGTCCAGCCTTGGGCTCCTCCTGACCTCTCTGCTGGTGCCCCTACTCATCATGAGCATCTTCTTCTAGCTCAGCCCTGGGCTTCTCTAGCTCTCTTGGTGCCCTGTCTGTGCCCATGAGCTGAGCCCTTGGTTGCCTCTCACAGCTCTGCCAGAGCCCCCTGAGATGCCCAGCCAGAGTACCCCCTGCCCTGGTCCCTCAGCTGTGGGCTGCTGCTCAGCTCTGCAGGTTCCCAGAACTCCAGACTCACTGCTGGTGTCCCTCACTACTGACTTGCAGCTCCTGCTATCCCAGCCTGGTTTTTCCCAAAATCTCCAATGGGGACCTCCAGGCTGAAACTCCTGCCCTCACTAGCCCAGTCCTCGGTCCCCCTCCCCTCCATGCTCAGAGCCACAGCCTCTGCTAGCTTGACTCTGTGCTTCTACATAGCTCCACCAGTACCTGTTGCTCCTGACCTTCATCTGACCAACTGCCCCCTGCTTTCCCAACCTGGATTCCTTGCACAGCTTTGCTGGTGCCCCTCACTCCTGACCCCCTGCTGCCCCAGTCCTGGGCTTTCCCCTGGCTGTGTTGCTGCTCCACATCCCTAGCCAGCAGCTCCCTGCTACCGCAGCACTGGGACCCCTATGACCACTGCTGGTGCCCCCTAGATATGACCTGCAGCCCTGTTCTGGTCCAGCTGTGGTCTCCCAACTAGCAATCCTGGCGCCCTTCACTCCTGACCTGTAGCCCCTGCCCCTGGACTATCAGCAGGCTCCAGGTTCACCAGTGCCTGGCACTGCTGTAGCACTGCTCCTGCAACCCGGGTTTCCCCTCACCTCCCTGCTAGCACCCCCGAGCAGGACACACAGCCCCTGCTAGCCCAGGACCAGGCTCCCCTGAGCTCTGCTGGTACCCCACACTCCCAGTTCACCTCTTCCATGTGGCAAGCTCTGCTGGAGCTGCTCAAACTGACAAGCTGCCCCTGCTTTCCCAGCCCTCGGCTCTAGGCCAGCTTTGCTGGTGCCCAGCACCCCTGACCCAAAGCCTGCTGCTAGCCCAGCCCTGAACCCCCTGCACTGCTGGTGTTCTTGACCCCCAATCCACAGCCGCTACTTTCCCAACCTGCTTTCTTCCCCACAGCTCTGCCAGGGCCTCCCAAATTAAAGCTCTTGCCCCTGCTACTCCCCCTGGGCTTCCTAACAGATCTCCACAACCTCACCAGAGCTCCTCATTTCTGAGCAGCAGTCCCCTGCTTTCCCAATCTAGATCCCCTGCACAGCTCTGCTGGTGCTCCTCCCTCCCAACCCCTGCTGCCCCAGTCCTAGGCTTTTGCCTCACTGCTCTGCTAGTGCTCTCCACTCACCATGTACAGCCCCTGGTAGCCCCGCACTGGGCTCCCCAAACCCTTCTGGTGCCTTGCACTCCCAGCTGACTGTCCCCAGGAGCTGACCCCTGGTCTGCCTTCCCCTGCTCTGCTGGAGCCCCCCATCTGCAAGCTGCCCCTGCTATCTGGCTGTGGGCTTTTGCCCAGCTCTGCTGGTGCCCAGTACCCATGACCCAGAGCCTGCTGCTGGCCCATCCCTGAGTCCCCTGTCACAGCACTGCTAGTGTCCCTCATGCCTGATTTGTAAGCCCTGCTACCCTAGCTCGATCCAGAGCCCACCTGGTTCCCTGCACGGCTCTGCTGGTGCCCCTCATACCTGACCCCCGACTACCCCAGTCCTGGGCTTTCCCCTGGCTGTGCTGGTTCTCCACACTCTGGGCCAGCTGCTATCCTAGCACTGGGTCCCCCCATTAGCTCTGCTGGAGACCCGTAGATGTGACTTGCAACCCTGTGCTAGCCCAGCTGTGGTCCCTCCAGCAGCTTTCCTGGTGACCCTCATTCCTGACCTGCAGCCACCTGACCCTCATCCCTGGGCTCTTCCAGTTCTGGCAATGCCTGTACCACTGCTTCTGCAACTGCACCCCTGGCCTACCCCCTTGCCACTCTGCTAGTGCTCTGCAGCTCCTGCTAGCTAGGTCTGGGTTCCTCCAGCTCTGCCAGTGTCCTGTACTCCCAGCCAACTACTCCCATGAGCCAAGCTCTGGGCTCCCACCCATGGGTCTGCTGGAACCCCCCAACCTTACCAGCTGCCCCTGCTGCCCCAGACCTGGGCTCTTGCCCAGCTCTGCTGGTGCCCCCCACTCCTGACCCACTGAGAGCTCAATCCTAGGCTTTCCTTTAGCTGTGCTGGTGTTCCATGGTCCCAGATTGCAGCCTCCTGCTAGCCCTGTCTTGGTTCCCTTCTGAGCTCTGTGGAGCCCCCCAGATATGACCTGCAGCCCTGTGCTTGTCCAGTGGTAGTCTCCCCAGCAGCTTTCCTGATGCCCCTCACTTCTGACCTGCAGCCCCCTTCCCCTTAGCTCTGAGCTCCCCCAGTTCTGCTGGTGCCTCTAATTCCTGATGCATTGCTCCTGCAGCTCCAGCCCTTGGCTCCATCAGCCCTGCTGGTGCCTTGCACTCCCAGCTGACTCTCCCCTCATAATGTGGCCAGTTCCTTCCATTCCCAACCTGCAGCCCCTGCTAGCATCCTGGGGATCTTGCAGAGCCCTGTTAGTGCCCTTCATGCCTGTCCAAGGGTCCTCTGTAGCACAGCCTTGGCATCCCCAGCTTTGTTAGTGCCCCTCACTCTGGACCCACAGGTCCTGGATCTTTCCATCTTGTGCTCCTTTCCAGCTATCCTGATGCCCTGCATTCTTTACCCAAAGCCCCTGCTGGCCAGCTGTGAGCTTTCTCCAGATGGATACCCCCCTGATGAAGTTCTTTCTTGGTTCAGCTGTGGCCTCTTGTACAGCTCAGCTAGTTCCTCTCCCTCACTATAGCAGACCGCTTCCACTGTGCAATAGCTGTAGTTGGAGCCCCAGGGGAGCCCTGCTCTGATTCACCTGCCCTCAGGGGAGATGTGGTTATTTGCCTCATCCTCCTGCTGCCCAAGTTTGCGCAGCCTGGGCAGGCTGGAATCACTTCACCAGCAGTGGATCAGCATAGGTAGATGTATCCTATACTCTCTGAGTTGAGAAGAGAACCCAGGGGTCTGAAGTCCGGGTCCACATCTGCTCTATCCCAGTAGACCCCACTCCCTTCTGAGCACTGGAGATCCAGTACAGGTATTCTGAATGCGAAGACCCCAAATATAAGCCCACTAGACTCCGCTACAGGACTGGGGATTGTGGTGACACACCTAAGAGACCTCCTTTTCTGATCTACCCCAGACATCCCCACTTCGTTCCCAGGTGGTCTAGGAGTCTAATTCTCCCTAGTAAAACCTTTTTCCTAGAGAGGGTGGTTCTGTAGGGTCAAAACTCTGCTGGGAGATGGAGCAAATGGATGGTTCCTTCCATCCAGGTTACTCACCACGGTAGGATCTCGTTGTGTCCATCTCTGGTCCGAGTTTGTGGAAAGTCTCTTCCGAGGCATCCTCACTGCCATGGGGACTGGAGAAAATTGTCCCCTTGAAATGATATACCAACAGCAAGGCATAGCAGATCAAAGATAACACCCACTTGGAACATTTCTTTACTGTTTATGCTGGTGAGAAGGCGTGAAAAATTCAATGGCTGGATGATCCTGGTGGGCTATAATAGGGGTGAAAACAGCCTAGGTGTGACTTTCAGTTGCCTACACTTCCCTTTTTCAGACGATGGGTTTTTTTGCTTGTGGGCTCTGGCCAGAGCTTTGGTCAAGGTGGCTGTAATTCTCAGAAAAATTTGAAGTTCCACAGAATATCAGAACCAAATGGGGAGACATGAAGAATCAGTCTTTGTTGTCCTCCTAGAGTGTGAAAAGAGTCCAGAAGCCCTGGCTTCCATGCCTCCCTTCATGCCAACCCATTAGGTTTCAGCTCTTTCTCAGCACTGAGGAAAAAATCTATTTTAATCCAATAAATTTACTTTTTTTTTTTTTGCATAATATCGGTTCTCCAAAATGGCCCTGGGCTTACAGATGTAGATGGAGACTTTGTTTGTGATGTTCTGATTGACGGGATACTTAATTTTCCCCTGTTCTGGTGGTTCCTGTCATCTTCTGATTATTTCTGTCATTGCAGAATCTCTGCGGGCCCCCTCAGTCTATCCCATATTCTCTTGCTGCGGTCCTGAGGACAACGATAATCAGACAGGAAAGGCCCTCGCCTGCCTCGTGACAGGCTACCTTCCAGAGCCAGTGGATGTCAAGTGGAATTCTGGCAAAGTGACTCAGGGGATCACGACTTTCCCAGCTGTTCTGGGCAAAGATGGAGACTTCACCCTCACCAGCCAGCTCACCATCCCTGCCAGCAGCCTGGAGAGCGGTGTCTACCAGTGCGATGTGGAGCATAGAGCTTCAACTACTTTCCTGTCTAAGGTGTTCCCTCAGCAAAGTAAGATGTGCTGGGGGGGGGGAGTGGAGAGGATGGGATAGCAAGGCTGAGGTTTTCCAAACATCTATGAGATTTGTAACCCACTAGTTTTAATCCCAAATCCCTTAGGAGCTCTTGGTAGTTTCCCCATGCTGGATCAGTGAAATTTGGGTCAAGCTGACATCACATTTGGTCATAGTGCTCAGTTATGGCAGAACTACAGGTATAACTGCACCCTAGCTCTTTTCCCTATGAATCCACTGAATAAGTAAATACCATGGGCTGTAAATCACACCTGACCATTGAATTATGGACCACATAGAGAGAGATTTTTCCATGCTGCCCATATGACTTAGGCATCCATTGTATGGGGACTTGGTGCCGCATATTTTTTCCATGCTTTGGAGAATCTCACCCTCAAAGATGGACTAAACTGGCATCTGGGCCTCACAGTAAACCTTCTCTGCTGGGGTGGGGAGAGCTCCCATCTCCCTGGCCATTGTTCCTTGCTGTCATTCAAGCTCTTTCTATCATGGGGGAAGTGAATTAAAAAGAAGCTTCAAATGTTGCTCATCTCAAGGGAAGACTACTTTTATACAAAGGGGTCAAGATCAAGGCCAGTCAGATTTATGATAACAGTGGACATCCATTCCCCAGTAGGTAACCTTTCTTGCGATTGCCTTGGGCTTCTCTAAAGATTTTGCTTCAACAGTGATCTTCTCCAGACTGAACCAGGATACACCTCCTACTTAGCTTCTAGCATGGCATGCTGGGAAACTACCTCTCTCAGCAGCATCCGGGCTTAAATGGGATGTGTCATTATAGCAACGGTGTGTTTCCAGGATAGTGCTGTTTCAAACACTCTCTGAAGCAACGTTTGCTTTATGAACTCTAGGCATTTTTGGGGGATGATTGGGGTTGATACACCCATAGGACCACAAACCTAGATAAGGTTGGGCACTCCTTAGCCAGTGGTCAGCCAAATTCATGGAAGACAATGGAGCTGCAACCATACACATCAGCTGAGAATCACTCCTTTTTTCAGTCTTCAACGGTATTCAGTTCCTTCTAAGCTGGACTTCTGATGCCAGTGCTACTATCTAACACTACAGTCCTTTGGCCAAGTGAAACAAACTGTGTAACACATACAAATATGTGTGGAGACTGGGATTTTAAAGTCTTCATTGTAGTCCCGTTTCCATAAATTTTTTAACCTGTGAAAAATGAGGTCCTTAGTGGCTGATATAAACAGTCCAGAAAACATACCACAGTGAAGTAGGGTTGTTACTAAATCTGTCTGAGAAATTTCCATCAATACATTTTATTCAGTGGAAAATGTATTTTGTTTGACTAAATATAATGTGTCCATCTTCCGCAAATGTTAGGTTTCTGTTCTGTTTGGAAACTGCTAGTTTTAATTTTTTAGTGGAAAATGAATTTTTCTTCCAGAATTCTTTCAATTTTGGGTATCCTGCCCTCTCTTTTCCCTTTCCCTTTTCTTTTTGATGAAAAGACACAGATGTAGACCTGCTGCTAGGGCAGTGATTGCAGGGCTCAGAGCCATTTCTCTGGAAGGTGAGCTTTGAATTGTAACAAATGACTTGGGTACTGAGTTTCTACCTCTCCCTCTCTCTGTTCTTAGCATGTAGGGGGGTTTTGCCCGCTCCACCCCAGGTTCATCTCCTGCCCCCATCCTGCAATGACAACTCTTGGGAGAAGCAGCTGGGGCTGGTTTGTCTCCTCCTGGACTTCATCCCTGGCCAAGCCAATGTGGAATGGCTCATGAATGGGGTGAAGAAGAACCTCCCTGGCATGGGCTTCTCCTCTGCAAAGGGCACAGGTGGCTTGCACATGGGGCAGAGTCGAGTGAACATCACCAGGGAGAGCTGGGATAATGGCGATGTCTACACATGCAAAGTCACCCATCCAGCACTGGACAAAAAAGACTTGATGCTGAATGTGAGCAAGTGCTCAGGTAAGGGGACCTGACTGCAACAGAACAAGGAGGGAGAGAGGGGAATGGAAAGTGAGCCAGAAACCAGCACTGCCTAAGCATAGTGGAGAATGTGCCCAGATACTAGGGAGATGACACATTTGGAAACTGAACAGATAGACTGTGTGAATGGATGGAGGGATGAACAGATAGATGGAAAAGAAACATAAATGGACTCTGTGGGAAGCTGGATGGAATCATAGGTAGGATGGCGGGAAAGAGAAGGAGTGTCTAGGGGTAAATAGAAGTGAGGTAGAAACTGCAGAGGATGGTGTAGATAGGAAACAGAATGAAGTCAATGCATATTAATTTAGTTTTTCCTCAGCCTGCCTCAGTAATTCAGTGGATCCATCCATCTATGTCATCCTGCCATCTTATGATGATCTGGTTGATAATGAGGGCCGTGTTACCTGCCTGGTTCTGGGCTACAGCATAGCAGGTGCTCAGGTGTCTTGGGAAGTGGATGGGAAGGCCAGCTCTCTGTCTGAGATGGGCGCTGTTGTGACACAAGACAACGGGACCCAGAGTGTCACAAGCACCCACAGAATAACCTTGACTCAGTGGAAGACCAGGACAAGATTCACCTGCAATGTGGTGCTTCCCTGTTCGAGAGAAGTCAGGCAGGATGCCCCTACAATGGACATGAGTGAGTATCTGTGGATTCTATTTCTGCCTCTGCCCCAGCTTTTTGGCAGGTCTCTTCTTTGGCTTCCCTTAGAAAATGGAGATGAATTTCCTTGTCTTCTCCTGCCATTGCCTTTTGTAAGTGTGAGCTTTTTGGCACAGGGAAGGTCTTTCACCTTGTGACTGTGCAGTTTCCAGGCTGGGAGTGTCCACTGACCTCCCCATCATGCAGGTAACAGAAGTGGTTAACAGGATCTAAACAGGTTCTTCAAAGGGAAGTGATGCCTTTAGTAAATGAGTAGAATCCAGCCTGGGTTCAAGGGGCCGCAGAGAATTTGACTGTTACCATGTGTCTTGTCATTAAAGGAGGCAGTGTTTAAGGAATACTGGAGTTGGCAGTCCTCTCCTGCTCCCAGGTGGGAACTCCTTCCAGGGCAAAGAAATTAGCTTCATCTTGCATCTTGATCCCTTCCAGCACACCCAGCTCAGGCACCTACTGTCTCAGTCAGTGTTTCCAGTTTGGATCCAGATGAAACTCCAGGGAAGGGCGATTCCTTCATACTCCTCTGTGATGTCACGGGATTCTTCCCGCAAGAGATCAGCCTGCACTGGGAGCACAAGGGTGTGAAAGTGTTCCCTTCCCAGTACACCAACGGGTCCATCATTAGGACTGGCCAGACATTCTCCACTCACAGCCTCCTGCGGGTGCCCCAACTGGAGGGGGAAAGAGCTACAGTGTCTGACTATTCCTGTGTGGTGCAGCATGTGGCTTTGGATGACACTTTGAAGGTCAATGCGTTGACAGGAGAGGGTGAGTTCAAGTGCCATAGGGAATCCCACAGCTCCCTGAAAAACCTTTGCCCCAGGGTTTCGGCAGGGATATTTTCTTGCTTTCTGTTCACCATGTTTTCCAGAAATCCAGGCCTAATTTCTGGGGGTCCTCAGGGGAGTCCAGTGCTCAACTCCTCCATTGTTTCAGGATTGCTGGTTGTAGCCATGTTGGTCTTAGGACATAGGCAGACAAAACTCTTTGGATAGAGGTGATAGTTGTTATTTAGTTGGTCTAATAAAATATATCACCTCTACCCAAAGAGTTTTGTCTGCCAACTCCTCCATTGAGAGTTGGGCTTTCAAATTGGTTGGACACCTTGGAAAAACCCAAGCCATAATGACGTAGGCGATGAAACTTTCATTGATGGGCTTATGATACAATTGGCGCTGGCTTAGTCTGAAGGAAGGAGTAAAGTGTAAGGGGCTGTCACGGAGCAGTGGGCTACTCTGAATTAAAGCTCCCATGAGCCGCTTGAAACCAAAACTTTCAGATCTTCCCTGGGGATTCTCATTCAGTCTTAAAGGGAACCTGGGGGCCAAATTCCTCAGGTGCATTTGGAAATGTCTCCTATCCTTGCCAATATATCGTGAGGCAAGGCTCCTATCCATTAGGGGATATGAGTTCCCAGAGCATTATGAAGAAATCCAGTGACTTTTCCCTCTTCCCAATTTCATTCTCATCACCCTTTGGTTCCCTCCTTAAAGATGCTCTCAGCTTTGCACCCACTCAACTTTTGTTTAGCCGAATCCTCAATTCCACCTCCTACCTTCAACCAGGTCCCTGCAAGCCCCTGCAAGTGGAGGTTTTTCTCCGCCCCCCTTCCCTGGAGGACCTCTATCTTGCCAAGAATGCCACCATCACCTGCCTGGTCATCAACATGGAGACAACTAGCAGTTTGGAGATCATGTGGAACCGTACAAGTGGAGGCCGGCTGGATGTGGTGTTGACAAAACCAGTTTTTCAAAGAAATGGCAGCTACAGTGTTTCCAGTGCCCTGTGGGTGCATCTGGAGGAATGGAAGTCTGGGGAGGAATTCACCTGCATGGTGAAACACCAAGATATCCCATCAGCCATCGTTAAAACAGTGCACAAGAGTCAGGGTACGTATAACCCCCATACCTCCAAATGAGTTCCCAGCCCAGACTAGACCCAGGGAGAGAAGACTGATTAGTCCAGACAGTTGGGGAAGAGATTATGGGTTTTATAGCCTCTATGGGGTTCATGTCTCTGATTAAACATCATGTCTGTGGAACAGGTCAAATTAATGGGCTGGAGGAAATATGTGCAAATGTATGTTAAAGAAGAAGCCAGAGTCATAGAATCATAGAAAAAGTATGATTGGAAGGGACCTCAGGAGGTCATCTAGTCCAACCCCCTGCTCAGAGCAGGAGCATCCCCAACTAGATCATTCTAGCCAGGGCTTTGTCAAGCTGGGTCTTAAAAACCTCCAGGGCTGGAGCTTCCACAACTTTTCTGAGTAACCTGTTCCATTGCTTCACTATTCTCCTAGTGAGATTTTTTTTTCTTAATATCCAACCTAACCGTCCCTTGTTGCAACTTGAGACCACTTCTCCTTGTTCTGTTGTCTGCCACCACTGAGAAAAGTCTAGCTCCATCCTTTTTGTAACCACCCCTCAGGTAGTTGAAGGCTGCTATCAAATCCCCTCTCAATCTTCTCTTCTGCAGACTAAATACACCCAGTTCCCTCAGCCACTCCTCAGAAGTCATATGCCCCAGCCCCCAAAACATTTTCCTTGCCTTCCGCTGGACTCTCTCCAACTTGTCCACATCCTTTCTATGGTGGGGGCCCAAAACTGAACACAGTGCTCCAGATGAGGCATCACCAGTATAGAATAGAGTGCAATAATTACTTCCCTCAATCTACTGGCAATGCTCCTACTAATGCAGTTCAGTATGCTGTTAGCCTTCTGGGCAACAAGGGCACACTGCTGACTCATATCCATCTTATTGCCCACTGTAACCACCAGGTCCTTTCCTGCAGAGTCCAGACACTTGGGTTCTATACTAGATCTGGGTGAGCAGTGGGGCTAGAG